TCCCAGCAATAAATAATAATATACGTGGTTTCTTCCCACTCGTAACTCGGCCCCATGCCAGTTACTCACTCCTTTTTCTTTCCCTCTCCCGCGGCGTCATTCGCCCTCCACCGCAACTCCAATTGTGTGTGCGTGTGCAAGTCGGCGGACAGGGAACAAATTTGTGTTGGGGTTTCATCGAGGCGTGTGAACGGCAACCGTGAGAAAAAAGAAAACAAAAAAACAAGAGACACGAATTACGGACTGGTATATCACAATGAATATACATATTTACACACACACACACACACAGAAACCCCGCAGATCAAACTCGCCCCACTCCCCCAACTCGCACATACGCGCGCACGCCCAGTCAATTTCAACAACAATAAAAACCGACCAGCTGAAGTGCCCCGCTTTTCTACCACCCCCTCCTTCGAAAAGGTCCCTTTCCCAAGGGGGGAAGTGGGTGGGTTGTGAGAACATGAGCGTCCTGGGTGCCACCCGAAGCTAGGGGGGCAAAACGGGGGGAAAATGTCGAAAATCAGCAAAAAACAACAACAACAACAACAAAAACCGAAAACAAAATAACCCCCAAAATACAGTCAGACACCATCAACAATATCGAGAATAAAAGCCGACTTCCTTCGCCCGCGAAAGTGTACAACATCAGGCAACTAGGAAGTAAAATGGAATAGGCGGACCATAGAAGTCCAGTCTTTTTTTTGATTATTTCTTTTTTTTTTCCCGTGTGTACTTTCTGATATAATTTACGAAGAAACAAGCAAAAACAAATGGAAGTGGAGTACGAAAAGGAAGAAAAGAGAAAGAAGACCCCCCAAAACACAGAAACGCAAAAAGGAGCAACTTATCTGTGGGTCCTCAGGTAAAAAGTGATGCGGCACGGTATGGGTTGTGCTGCCAATGGCGCTTCGAGGCAGTTCCACCTGTAACTGCAGGAAGCCCCGAAACACCGTCTGGTGACGACGACGGGGAATCTTCGTCCCAAGCTGGGCGATCGGCGTCCATTTCACCGTCACTTTCAAGCAAACTTAATGAAACTTTGATACTCGACGATGCTCTATGCGCATTTGCACACGGGGGCGTCTTTGCGACCAGTAACGTTGGCTCTAAAGTGTATGATCCGTTCATGTAGGCATTCTCTGGAAACGACAAACCCTGCACACTGCCCTCCACAGTTGGTGCACAGAAACTTCCATTTGGCGTCACTGGGGTGGGACTTGGTGGTGGTACTTGCTGGACCATCATCGCGGCCCTTGCTCCTCCTCTTGCAGCTGTGACTTCTGCCAATTCAGGTGCGGGATACATGGGCCAGGATGAAGCCGCAGACACATCCCACGTGTTCTGGCAGGTAAATGACCAGACCTGAGAAGGTGCATTGCTCGGCACAGATTCATTTGCTGAGTATTGCAGCGGATACCCTCGAAGCTTCTGCTGCCGCGACACGGAAGTAAATACAGATGTATTTTGCTGACCCCGGGAAGCTGGTTTGGCGTTCCCAGCGTCCTGAGAAGTGAAGTAGGAATTTGTTATTTCCTTGCACAAGTGCAAAAATCTGCAGTCGTCCGCATATCGGCATCGGTCAAAAATGTGCAGACGGCATATAGGTTGGTCACTTGCATCTAGCACCAAACGAGATCCTTCACCTCGCGCACCAGCTTTGTCGCCAATGTCTTTTTCATCAACTTCTGGCATCAAACGATCCGGTCTCTCCTTCAGTATACGTCGTAGAGAAGGAGTGTAACTGAGACGCCTCAGCGGAACATAACCACCCTCAAAGCTAACTTCAGGGATGTACAGCACCACCTTTGAAAGCCATGAGCGCTCATTCATCGCATTAGCGTGGTCTCTGTCTCCGTGCAGAGTGCAACACCACGGAAGACTTCCCACTTGACTTCGCAGTGCCACAACCGCATCCACGCTCGCGTGAACCTGGTGGCACTGCGGGCCTTGACGACACCGACCTTGAAGGAACAACTGGCACAGGCTTGGAATTGTGGCACGCTGCTGCGCCCGGGTGGGGTATATGCAGTTGCAGGGGATCAAAAGCTTTCGGGTAGCAGGGTCAACCACCACCATGCAAAGCGTCCCATCCGAACGTTTCGCGAGGTGCCGGCTCACACCCACGACGGGATCGGATGTACTGTCAAAGCTTTGTTGCTGTGGAATCATGTGTACCTCAACTGCAGAATATACTACTCAGTGAACTCCTTAAATTCTTTCTTGGTTTGATTTTATTGTTTGAGTTTGTTGGTACGCGAGGGATGTTGAAGCTGCCTCTTTTTTTCGTGTCTTTGTTTCCCTTTTTTACCTGAACAATGCCACCGAGATAATACACGAGGAAAGAGGGCAAGTACGCAGGGAGCAGTCGACACAATACATTGCTTCTTTTGTAGGTTTTTCCTCAGCTTTCAGCAGTTGAGAACGTGAAAGAAAAACGGGACGAGGCAAAGAACGGCAACGTATTCATTTTCCTCGTCGCTCAAGGACGGCTGTCTTATTTTCTTTTTCCCTCGCTCTCACTCCATCTTTGTTTTATTTTGAAAACGTTATTCGCCCAATCCCTTGTCAGTTATTGATTTCCTGCGAACGATCGTGTTTTTTCTTCTTCTCCTACTCCCTCTTTCCCTCATCCTCCTTTATGGGGACTCATGTTATCCCGCCCTGGGGCCCGGGGCGCTGCTCCCGTCCAACGTGCCAGCACCACCGCTGTTTGTTGGCCCAGGGGGGTTTTCTCCGCCTGGCCGCGCAGCAAGGCACACATGCGCGGCCAGGCAGTGCACCCGACCTCCGCTTCCCCCACTCATGAGGACCTGCTTGGGCCTTGCCACGGGAAGAGAGTCTGACGCCCCTCCCAGGCGGCGACATGGATGCATCAAGAGGGTCATTGGAACCAAAGACCGGGGAAAAAAAAAGAAGTGCGTGTTTAAATACAAAAAGTACTTGGAGCTGTGAAGAAAACAAACACACACGCACACACAAACATGCACCGTCTCTGACGATGGAAGGGGGAAATGGCGTTCAAGGGCAGGTCTCGTCCCTT